TTCCTTTTAGTTAGCTCAATTTGCTTGATCTATTAATTTGTAATAAATTAATGCAGAAGATACAAGCCATTAATATTCCTGAGTGTTTCTTGTGACGCTCTACACTTGGCCCAGCCTAAATCTTTGTACTGTTTTTAACAACAAAGTAGTGTTATCAAAGGCGCGCTTAAGCCCTGAAGCGAGGCTCAAAACATGTTGAGCGCTTTGCCTCGCTTAGTGGGCGCTTCAGTGTTTTCATCAAGGCTCCAAGGCATACTTTTCCTTGCCAATGAGCGTAATCCTGAAGAAGCGACAATAAACAATTGATATTTTATTTTATTACAAATTTTCTTCAATTTCTTTCTCCATATATTTGGTATTCATGCTTATAAATATTAGTCTTGGACTACACATACATATTCATAGTTTTTCTCCATTTGCGCCTTTCTTATTAAAGCCCACGCTTTATTTGCGCTTAAAGCCCCAACAGACCTTAGAGCTTTTTTGTGCTTTTCGCCTTTGATAACACTGCAACAAAGTGAAAGAAATATAGTTCCCAACCCCTATATTGATCACACGATCTACCAATAAAAAAATTTTGATCACGTGATTTGGGTATTCTGTCCCTGTATTCTTTAATCCTCGCCTTGCCCCCACACTGTTCAGTAGCAGTAGGCCTCGATAAAATGAGGAACTTTTTAAAGTTTAAAAACGTATTACATCTTTGAAGAGAACTGAGGAAACAACAGGAGTTTCGTGGAGGGATTTTGAGTTTCAAACTGTGTCCTTTTACATAGCTGTTATTGCTTATTCTACTACTGATTACTTTGTGTTGGAAGTTTAAGCCATTAACATACATGAGTGTTTCTCCCTGACAATTTAGACCTGGTCCAACCTAAATCTTTGTGCTCTTTTCAACACAAAGATTTACATGATTTGGGTATCTGCATTTGAAAACTCCGTGATCGCACAATTGTATTGTCCTTGTGTTATTTATGTTTAACTTCCAACTTAATTAATAAAATTATTGACTTCCAGCTTTTTCAGAGAAACTGCTTTTGATGTGTGCATTCAAACTACTATTGTTTCCTGATTTTTCAACAGCCAACCATACCTCTTTTATATCAAGCAGATATAGGACGTTGCAAATGCAAAATCAGTTCTGTATTTGATGAAAGTGAATACTTTCTGGGACAAACTTGAATAGAAATGTTGGAGAAAAATAGTATGAGATGGACTTTTGCCGAGACTTGATCCCCTCTTGTATTATTTATATGTTGGCTAACTCAGACTTGTGCCCATAATGTTGACTTTTTTTTTATAAATATCTTATTTTGTTGCTCATCAAAACAAATTTCTTTTCTTGGTAGTTGTCTCCTGCTTCTCCTTCTGTGTTACACATTGTAGATTTAGCTTGAAGTTTTATCATAATTTTTTACAATAAAAAAAAAGTTTCGTTATAATCTTGAGATTTTGAATTAGGATAACTTCTTTTACATATAGAATTTACAGGGAATATCGTAATGCGCCTTTGCTCAGGGGTTTCCACCCTCTTTGCTGGTGTATAGATAAATGAATGATGTTTATATTCAGAAAATATGTACTGCAGGTTTTGAACAAGCAATTCAAGCATATGCTGTTCATGTCCTTTCAATAACCTACCAGAAGGTTCCAAGGGCAATTCTTGCAGAGGTATGTTTTTCTTCATGATTGCTTGTGTATTATCTATTCTGATATTTACTTGTGCAACCACCTGAAAGAATTTGGAAGGCTCACAAATCTTAATCATTGGATAAATATATGGTTTGCAAAACAATAAGATGAATCTGTTAGTATGAGTTTGAATGGAGAAACTTGAGAAGTTGAATTGGATGGTTGAATTTACCCGATAGTCCCTCGAGTTTCTTCTATCACTATGACATGCTTTGCAGCTCACCGTATAATTAATTCTTAGCAGGCAATCAACATTGAGGGTCTTTCACTGGATAAGTTCCTTGAGCACCAAGTATCGAATAACGGTTGGGTTATTGAGAAAGGTCAGGGTAAGGGCCAACTTATCACGCTTCCTCGCACTGAGTTCAACCATCCAGAGCTTAAGAAAAATACTGCTGATAGTGTTCCACTGGAGCATGTTACGCGTATCTTCCCCATTCTCGGCTAAAGCCTGCAATGCTATTGGTATAGAACCTGGAGTTGCTTCTGAGTTGAGAGAGCAAATTTTTATCTTGAAACACAATATGAGTTATGACTGTAGGTCCTTGCATTTTATGAAATTTAATCGATTAGAAGATGGTCCTTTCTTTTAACTGCCAGTTATTTTTTTCTGGAAGATATTACAAATATATTTGTGCTCTTGAAGTTTATAATGTAGTGACAAGAACATTGTTAAATTATTATCCAGGGAACTCGAGTCAAGATGTAATCCTTCATGTGCTTTAAATTACTATTATCCAAAGGAGATATTTTTATGATACTTGGGCCAAGTTGAGTAACTACTTGGTTAGAAAAAGTTAAGTCATTTTCTGTAATATTAAGGCAAAGTTGAGTAACTTTTTTGTCACCTAATGTTTATACTTTTTTAATTTCAGTATCAAAGTTGTCTGTCATAAAATATCCTTTTTGATAAATATATTTTACATAAATTGGGAAAAAACAACTTTCCTTAATTATGTGTAGTCTACGTTTTAACGTTTGTGTTTTATCTCCTTTCAAAATTATGGCGACATTGCTATCAGCGTTTAATGCTCAAAATAGTCACAGAAAAATTATAACAATGTAACGTTCTACCATTATTATGTGCCTTATATTTACTCAATTCTAGAATATGATGTAACGAGTATCCCATCAAGTTCAATTTATATGACACCTTTTCTATTTATCTATTAGACATTATTGTTTGTTATATCATTTTTGTGTGGCAGAATACATAGTTTACTCATCAATCTTGTAGCAAAATCTCTGTTATACATATCTCCTTCACGAGAAATTTTTTACACATTCAACCTTTCAAAAGTGTGTCTAAGACATTATTTTTGACCAGATATCACTTGCGTGTTTACACACAAAAAAATGCGTGAAGTCCGTAAAAAATCTCATTTTTGGTCTCCCTTCCCCACAGGAACCCCTCCCCCTCCCTCTGGTCTTCTTCCTAAGACCACCCTCCCCCCGTCTTCTTCCCCAAATAGAATTTTTGAAAGAACATAAAATTTTATATCTAAATTGAATGATTTTTGTTGGTTTATTGTCTAAATATTATGAAAACCATTTATTTGTGATAGATTTAAAAACTTTAACGGTAGTATTGAAGGTTTGGTAAAAAAATCTAGAATCCACCATTGTTGGGGTATCGAAAAAAGCTTGTAAATTCAATTGGGTCTTGTTGATTATTGGGTTGTTGAACTCAATTTGTTGCTCGATTATTTTCAGCTAGTTGTCTAGATAGTGTGGTTGAATTTTTGTGTTGTTGGAAACTTTCTCACAAACAACTATGGTGGCAGACTGGCAGCAACAATTGTGCTTAAGATAGAAAATGGGAAGATGGATTTTAATTATAATTTCTATTTTTTTTTCTTTTTAATGTCAATGACACGTGTCACGGCCCGTATTAGGATGTGTCTTTCACGTTATTTGAAAAATTAGTCAAGCACAAAAGTAGTGTGTCTTAGACACACTTCTAAAAAGTTGAGTGTGTAAAAAAAATTTCGTGAACAAGAGGTGTGTACAAGAAATTTCGCTGCAAGATCGATATTCCGTGTAGCTTATGTAACTTGTCGAAGTGATGTTTTATTTTTTCATTAAACTGATTTTTCAGCTATTATTTTAGTATTTTAGAAATACTTTGCAATCTGTATCCATAAACAGTGGCGGAGCCACCTTATAAGGAGGGGTGTCAAATGACACCCATTCGTGGAGAAAATATATTGTGTAGGTAGGTAAAAAAATAAATTATATGTATATATACTATGTATTGACCCCCCTTAATTTTTTGATATATTTACTTTTATATATTTTGACATCCCTTAACGAAAATTTTGGTTTCGCCACTATTAATAAATAGTCTGCAATAATAAAATGAAAGAGTAGAATCACAAGAGCCATTGATAGCAAAAGTATATACTCAGTCGATTTAAACGAGTGAATGTTTAAGGAAAACTTTACAAAGTAATTGTATTGAAATTAAAACACCATACAGCCACATTAAATTTGTCAAATCCATTGACATATTAGAAATTAGATTCATTATGACCCTCCAACTCTACTTCTTATGTTTTATTTTAACGCCAAAAGATGAAACAAATGCCAAAAAAATATAGCGCGTGTGTATACACAAATTTGAGGTGTAATAAATATCCAATTAAATATTGCTCATCCTTATCAAACAGATCAATACTAAAATACCCGACCCAAATTTTTTGGTGTCCATGATACTTTTGGTTCAACTTGAAATCCATAAGAACAAATATCCATTCTATTATGAAAAAATAATTTCCTTTGAGACATGGATTCACTTCAAATTTCAAGCTTATATGAAATAAAGGATGAAAAAAATCAGGTGACAACATTTAATTGAATATTTATTACACCTCAGATTTGTGTATACATACGCGCTATATTTTTTTGCATTGGTTTCAGCTTTTGTGTTAATATGAAATATAAAAAATACAGTTGGAGTACCAAAATGAAACAAGGTTGAGATAGAGTGCCAAAATAAAAAATGAAGAAAGATGAAAAAGATGAGTATATCAAAGTATTCTAAAGAAAATTCATTATTATAAACTGAAAAGGGAATTCTTATCTATTTTAACAAATCTGGAGGATTAATATATAAGGTGTTTCTTTTTGAATTTTTGAAAAATGTGTTTCTTTGATATAAAAAGTATTTTAAATTCAAATTTCTAAAAATTCAAAAGTGGAAAAGACAAAAAAGGAAGAGCAAAATTAACCTCGGGAGAAGCAGCAGAGAAGACAGCCAAGTCGGATGAAGTGGGTCCCATCTCTTTAAACGCTCCCCCTGAATTCGAAAACCAAAGGCAAAGCGCGAAAACTTAAAAAGCCACTCAATTAAAACCCCCGAAAAACCCTGCACCGTCGCTCTCCGCCGCGCGTGTTCTCCAACTTCCGGCGTCTCTCTGACATTACTTTTCAGAGTTTCGCATTCTCACTCTGTTTGTACGGGTTCTTTCCTTACACTTTCTCTATCACCGAGATTTGTAAATTTCAAATATTAAATTATACAACTAGTAGTGTTCAATTAATTTTATTCCCAATGTTTCAACAGTCCACATGCAGGGAACATTTTTTACAGCTTTAATTCGCAGTTTCCTACTTTAGCCAGCAATTACAAGGTATATTTTTACTCACCACGGTAAGAATTCAGAATTTAAGCTCTAAAACGGATCTTAAAATCGAACCAATCATATTTATTAACGTTATAAGTTCATATCTATGAAATATTTATTAAAATTTTAGTGAATTTTTATTTTTACGCAAAATATTATATTTTGAGTAGAAAGTAGTGGATTCAGATGGTATAGTTGCATCCGCCCCTGATCATCAACTTTTTTTTCATTCTAATATCCTCCATTATATCCAGTAACGTTTTGCCATTTCACTAGTTATTGGAGTATTATTTATTATTATTATTATTTAAAATTTGAACTTTAAATGATGATTTTCGTTGTTATTACTTAACATTTTTAATGTGTACCGTAAAATGTTGTCAACTGAGAGAGAGTAGTTTTTATTTTCCAGGGACCCTAGGTTTTATGAGTTAGATTTTTTCCCTCTGCTTTTGAACATTTGGTACTTGGTGAAGACTGAAGATGCTCTACTTCTTTTGTAAGTTCCCTCAATCTATTACTATTAGCTCTATAACCATCTTTCTGTACTTTTTTTTGCTTTTGCTTGCTGTAGTTTATGCTAAGTTGCTGTGAGAATGCGGACTCTTTTGATTTTTTTTATTTTTTCTTGAATAATGTTGGTGTTCTGCCAGCTTGCTCTCACCTTGACTGTACCAACAGAAATGCTGGGTAACTCCGCCTACCAAACTTTATTCAGATGGAAAGAAATCACTAGCATTTTCTGCATCGCTGAGATTTGAACCTTGGCATCCCATGGTTTCTTAATCCGACTTCATTAACTACTAGTGCACACGCCACTGTTGGATAATCTTATAGAGTGTTTGCATTATGTATTCCGCAAAATGCGCTCAAGTTCAGTCATTTGTGTGATCTTGTCCGTCTTTTTAGTTGTTTTTTTAAGTGTAAAACAAAGTGGAATCTTAAATACAGTTGTTCATTTTTTCTCTTTATAGTCTACTGGGTGAGGTGGTTGTTTGGGGCTTGAGGTGGAGAAAAACATTAGTGGCTGCCTGCTTGTCTTTACGACATTGTTGATCATATACTAAACTTTGACCCAAGAAAATTTTTGAAAATGAAAATGACTTTGACCAAAGAAAATTGGTGTAGCTGTTATATTGTTTAGCAAGAGAGAAAAACTTGAATTTTTTTTTTAACAAGCTGTTATTTGAATATTGAAGGGCAAAATCATGGGTTACAATTTTGAAATGCTGGAATTCTACTCTTGGAGAGGTGAATGAGCAGGCAAATAGAGATGAAGACACATGTGAATATGGTGAAAGGAAGAGGTCCCAGCAGGGTGAACAGCCAACATGTTGTTTTCGAGCTTAAACAACGTGTGGTTCTTGCGCTGAACAAGCTTGCAGATAGGGATACTTACCGACTTGGAGTTGAAGAGCTAGAGAAAATAATTGAATGCTTAACCCCAGATGGAGTTGCTCCATTTCTATCCTGTATATTAGATACTGATTCGGAGCAGAAAAGTGCTGTTCGTAAGGAATCTATCCGGTTGATGGGCATGCTAGCCAACTTCCATGATAGTATTGTTGTTCCACATCTTGCGAAGATGGTATCCAGCATTGTTAAGCGTCTCAAGGACTCGGATACTGTTGTAAGAGATGCTTGTGTGGATACTGTTGGAATTTTGGCTTCTAAAATGAGCAGTGTTGCAGGTGACAATGACAATGATGGAGTTTTTGTGGTGCTAGTGAGACCTATTTTTGAATCCTTGGGAGAACAAAATAAGCAGGTGCAAACTGGTTCAGCTCTGTGTTTGGCTCGGGTCATAGACAGTATTCAGAACCCTCCAGCTGCCATTTTGCAGAAGATGCTGGCTAAAACTGTGAAGTTGCTTAAGAATCCACACTTCATGGCAAAGCCAGCTGTTATTGAATTGAATAGAAGCATTATTCAGGTTGGTCTATCTTGTGCCAAATTCTTTGAATCTTTGAAATTTTCTGTCGCGCATATGTACTAGTCATATCAATGCTCGACTTGAAGGATAAGAATGTTCCAGTTTACACCATAGTGTAATCCTATTGTGTTCGCACTTGTGCAGCATATGTTTGCTTATAGTTGGCGCCTTAAAAGAATGAGGAAATGGCCTTTGGGAATTAGTCTCAGCAGTATAACCTAATTAAAATTTAAATTATGTTTTGCAAGCTTAGGGTGATTTATATTTCCGACAAAGATGACAAATTTTCACATTTTTTCTAATATTCAGGCTGGTGGTGCCAATACACATAGTGCTTTATCAACTGCAATGGCTAGCATTCAAGAAGCACTCAAGAACAGCGATTGGGCAACAAGAAAAGCTGCATGTGCAGCATTAGGGGACATTGCTTCAACTGGTGGAGCATTATTCAGTGCTTTCAAGTCCTCCAGCATCCGGAGCCTCGAATCTTGTCGATTTGATAAGGTAAGTGATGCAGCCAGAATGCATAATTGAACTATGTGGTATGATTCTATATTGTGGTTGTCTAATATGAAAGTTGAAATTATTAAACCTTATGTGCTCTGTTCAGGTGAAACCAGTCAGGGACTCAGCATTGCAGGCTTTACACGTGTGGAAAAGGTTTCCCGGCCCTGGTACATCTGAACCTTCTGAAGCAGGCTCTTCCATAAAAGGTAAGATGTTCGGTGCTCTCTGATGTGATATTTCTTTCAGTTGGTGCAGATTTTACTCATCTTACTATGATGCTTTGTGATGTCCGATAACCTAGTTGATTTGTCTCACAACTAAGCAGTTAAAGTTGCCGATTTGAGTGCTCTAGTTCTTGAGCTATGTTATTTGTTAAATTAAGATGGTTCTTGAGCCCTTGGATTTTAAACCTAACTGTTGATCTAGTTTCAGCTCAGACTTGCTTCTGTCCTTGTTGGGCTGGCCATATTACCGGCATGTTTACCAGTTACATGTCATTTACATCAGTAATTTTGAAAATTGACTTTCTTAATATTTGTTTTTGGTGACTTGTGTAATAATAGCTTGTATTTTGCAGAAAATCGGTATAAAGATGATTATGGTGATATAACAAGTGCCAGTGAGTCAACACTGAAGGATGCCACACCTAAGAAATTTGGTTGTGACTCGGCTAGAAACAAGCTTCCCCTTTCTTTGAGAAAAGCAGGCCATAACCATGTCGAAAAGCCTCAGCACTGCGGAACTAATGAGTGGCATGTGGAGATAGCAGTTCCGACAACACGTAAGATCTTTATGCCAGAAGTTAGGGATGGAGAATCAGAGGGTAGTTCTGTTATGAAGGCATTTGAAAAAAGTGCTGAGACTAGAAGTTCTCATGATGTTGAATATGAATATGTGCACATAGATGACAAACAGGAGTGCTCTTCTGGGTCAAATCTGTTTCCTGATAACTTTCAACGCAAAGAAGTCATGGGTTCTATCCAGATAATTGATGAGGCCAGTTTGGGTACACCATTGGGAACAAGTCAGCGTTCTGCAGTTGAAGAAATCAGTATTGAGGAACAACGATATTTTGATGTAACGCAGGACCGAAGAAGCTTAGATTCAACAACTACTGAATTGAGCTCTCAAAAATTGCATGGCTGCTGTTCTCATGTAGCAAAAGAAATGTTATCTGTCCGAAAGCAACTCTTGGATATTGAGAATAAGCAATCCAATTTACTAGATTTATTAAAGGTAATTAATTTAACATTTCTTTTGTGTTAGTCTGGATCAACCAATACGTATTATGAGAACCAACCTTTCTGCGTCATGCCATTTTGTGGAAGGCACAGCACATGCTCTTAATCTGTAATATGTAAAGTAAGCCAAGAACTAAACTTCCTAGAAAATGTCCTCTCAAATGCACACTTATAAAGGTAGAGAAGAAGTTTCAGTATATGCATTATGCTTGTATCTTATTAAGTTTCTTTATATGATGTATAACATGTTCAGTTGGTGCATTGTCCAAAAAACATGTTCGGTTGATGATAGAAATGATAAGATAAACAACGAGGTCTGGGTATGTCTATTTTCAAAGTATGAGGTTTCCTGTAGATATTGGAGCAATAAATATGATCTTTACGGTTATTGTGGCTAATATATCTTCTCACTAGATTTAACTTATGACTAAGATTATGTATTTATGGAGTACTGCTTAGATAATATGTGAAACAAAACATTTGTTGAAGAATGGGTTTTTCTTTTGTTCTTTCCTCAAATCCATCTTTGCCTTGTAAAGAAAAGACTTGAGCACACAGATGATATCAGATAATAGCAAGGCCGCAGTTCCTTCACCTGCATGCCACTGTTCAATTATTTCTGTTTTCTTTCTTTCCCTTTCCTCTGAAATTCAGTTTTGTTTGTTCATAGCCACCATATTCTTTTGAGTTAGTGTTTGAAATACTTACTGTTACTTGGCTGTCCCCCTGTTGTAACTGATATTTTCAGGAGTTCACAACCAACATAGTGGATAACCTGTCAATGATGCAAATGAAGGTGGCCGGTCTTGAAGGCATGGTTGATAGAATGGCCAGTGAACTTTCTTATGGAGGGAGATGTCCTGATCCATTGGCAACAAAATTTATGAAAAGAAGTCCTTCTGTTGCTTCCCCAAGACTCTCCACGTACACCCCAAGGCCATCTGTTGATATACATCATAGGAAGTCTCCGCTACTGCCCACCAAAGACATGGATGTTCAAGAGGAAAGGACACTTGTGAAGAGTAGATCGAGCAGTTTTAGAAAGCAAAATCTAGATATGTGGACTGATCCTGCTGCAAAACAAGGTGGATATCCTGTTGGAAAAGGAGTTCACAAAAATAGTGGACAGGGAACTCATGGAGGTCAATTGAGGAGAAACAATGATGTCTTCAGCAGGATTTCTACAACTAATGCCAAACAACACCATGTAGATGTCAAGAACAACCTCTGGAGAGTTGTTAAAGAACATCTGTTGGAAGGGGATGTAGACTCTGCTTATGTGGAAGCTCTTTATTCTGGTGATGAACTTGTTTTGTTTGAACTTATTGATACAACAGGTCCGGTTCTGGAGAATTTATCGCAGAAGACCACAAGTGATCTTTTGGCCACTTTGGCATCGTACTTCTGTGAACAAACATATGTGAATAACATAATTCCCTGGCTGCAAAAGGCAAGTGCATCTTGTGGTTATCAAAATCTTTAAACTAACGTTATCCTTGTTCTTGAAACTTTAAATGCACAAACAATTTTTAATTAGGAAAAAAGGTTGCTTCTCACTGAAGGTAGACAAGTTTTTTTGTCATAAGTAGGGTTTGAATACTGTGTCAAATTACTTTCCCTTCTTCTGCCTTAGTTATGTTTTATGCCAAATTTGTGAGAGCTTCCTTCCGTTTTATTCCATAAGTTTCTGCTCATCTTGCTTTTGTATCTTACACGACTTAGATGACATGTCCACTGCCTTTTTGTTCTGCAACTTGCAACAATTCTGAGTGTATGACATGGTAAAACCTGTTAGTCTGATTACTTCTTACATAATGATGTATTTCGCTCATGAACAAGTAAAAATAACTATGCCTCAATCCCAAGCTAGTAGGGGTTGGCTCATAGACAAATTCTTTTCGAAATATATCTGGACTTTAGCCTCATGATGTACTTTTTCTGAAGCTTAGGTGGTGGACCTGAGTTCCGTCCATGGACCAGATTGCATTGCCGTTTCTTCAAAAGCAAGGCGGGAGTTTCTTTCTGCATTTCAGGATGCGATAAAGGGTGGATATTCTACCCCGGCAGAGAGAAAATCTTTGATGCAGTTGGCAATGACTTTAAACCAGATTTGGGGTAAGAAAAGTCTTTTTCTTATTTAAATTTGTCTCCAGTCAGAAGCTTAAATTATTGACTAATCAATTACTTCTACCTGCTGCAAAGGGCAGGATAGAACAACATTAACATATATATATATNCTTTATTGTTATAGATCCTTGCATGAAGAAGCGACGTGCATAATGTTAGTTACATTTTAAGTCCTGGTATTGTGGCATGTGATGCATATTATGAACATAGAACGTAACGAGTTGATAGCAGAACCTGCAACTCTTAGGATAGGAGAGTGTGGTCATGTGGGGAAGGAAGTTTAATTGATGATAGGTTTCACTGTTCTGGTTTTTGGTGTCTCAAAAACCAGGGGAAGTGGTGAACCCAAGTTTGTAGCATACTGTACTAAGTCTCATTCCATGGTGGTGCCCCTATTCGTAACTCCTGTATTTTAAGTTTCTAGAGAATGGAAGGACAATATGATTTTGCCGTTGACGAGGCCCTACATATGACACTGCAATGCAAAAGCTTGTGTTTATTAGATTACCTGAATTAGAGAGAACCTCTTGTTGCTTCTGCTTCTTTTCACTCTTCATAGAGGTGTCTTCACTCTAACATCATTTGTTTCTCATTGCAGGAAAAAATGCGCCATAACATGCCAAAAAGGTTGCAGATATTCTGTGCTTGAATTTGGAAGCAGGCTTATAGACTTAAAGCAGCAAAGAATAGATGTGGGGAAATGAATCTTGATACTTGGAAAGACTCTTTTCTTTCTTTAAAACTTTTCAAAACTTTACCTGAAGTATGGCTGTAGAATGAAAGGTTCAAGTTTCTAGCATCAAAACTGTTTCCTGAATTTGTGATCTCCTTGTTCATTTCTAAGCTTACTTGAAAATGCTGTTTAAACATTGGAACGTCAGACATATCAGCCATAGATGTCAACCATTCATTAGGTGACATTGTACAGTTGAAATTGAACAGTTATTTCATGTCTTTCCTTCTCCAATCTTTGTTAGCAGCAAAGAAAAATTATAAGAAGCTCCCTTTAGTTAGGACTTCGCAGTTATAAATTACTATCCCTAGTCGTTAAATGAATAAGAAACAAGTCACTTGATTTGATTGTTCAACCTGGTACATTGAGGATCCGAGCTTCTTCAAATGAAAATCTGTACCAAAACCAAAAATCCAATTTGATATACTAATTTATTTTTTGGTTTGATTGGATGTAACGACCATGTCATGTCTAGCTTTACTCATTAACAACAGAAACAAATCCTTCAGACGACTTTCTTGGTTTCCTTATAGAGACTCCATTCAAAAGAAAGAATTCCAAAAACTTAAGGTCTTGGCAATATATTTGGTCTAAATGATGCTTGATGCCAGACCCTCCTTCGGAGGGACCTTATTATTTCCCTAATATCACCAAATGTCTTATAGCTAAGGCAATTTCCTCAGAACAACATAATAAAAAAGACGCGGAATGACAAACAAAGTGTCTTCCAAGTATAGATAAGTCCTCCAATGAAGGAATGCTAAGAGAAAAGATATGTAATGCGGATTAATAAAGATGAATTTTTGCTCAATGCATTTGGTACAACACAAGCTTCATCTTAGCTTTTGCTTGGTAGCTTCAACTTCTTGAAGAAACTGATCCCACGTCGAGCACAAGATCAGGAGAAGGGCTATAAAGGTCACACTCCTTTGGTATCTCGCTCTTGCTTCTTCCATTTGTTTGTTTACTCCTCTGCGCTGCATCAGCTTCCCTTTCACTTTCACATTTGAGTGGGTTTGCTTTAGCTTCATACAAGGTGACACTGCCACTTCCACTCATAAGAATTGTTTCTTCGCCTTTATCTTGTGGTTGAAGCGCTTCAAGTATTTCAACGACTTGACTCATGACAGGCCTTCCTTTCGGGTTTTGGCTTAGGCATTGATAGGTTAGATTGGCAACTTTTAATGCAGTTTTAGAGGAGTATTGACCTTCCAGTCTGGGGTCCATTATCCGGAAAAGCTTCTTGCTATGATTCAAGAGAGGTCGAGCAAACTCTACAAGGTTATGTTCCCGGCTAGGTTTACTCTTGTCCATCGCTCGCCTTCCAATGAGCATCTCAAGCAAGACAACGCCAAAACCATAAACGTCACTTCTGGCTGTTAAATGTCCTGAATAATGCAACTATGCATCTTAGTTCAACAACAATAAACAGAATAAACACAAGCCATAAGCAAAAATGAAGATGATCACAGAAGGCATAAACCGTAAGGCGTATGACATTTTGGTCTTTGGCTGCATAAAGAGGATAGGGAAGTGCTGTGAGTTACGTTGAAGAATTTCAATACTTTGGTCTTCAAATGGCAGTATCTGTAAACAGCTATGGAAGGCAGATGGACTAGATATTGATGCTATATGTGTTCACAAAGATAGGCAAAAAGCCAAACCACTCATTTATAAAGGTTGAAGAGGAATTGTAGCATAAAATGTGTTTTAACTGTCGTTCTTTGCTAGGCTCAGAAGATGTTTTACCTATTGAACCAAATGAGCGACCGCATAAAGCAAACAGCTATCTCATAAGCTTTGGTTAGCGCTTGCCTAATTTGTGCAACAAGCAACCACAAGACTCACCGGTCATGACATACTCTGGAGCAGCATAGCCATAAGTGCCCATTACACGAGTTGATACATGTGTTTGATCTCCCATGGGCCCATCTTTTGCAAGTCCAAAGTCAGAAAGCTTTGCATTAAATTCCTGCATCAAAATTTAAACAAAGGCAAAGATTGCATAGCACTTTTAATTTCACCCATATTTTTTCTCAGCAAGTACCAAATACCAGTTTTCTAGGGCCTCTTATTAACAAATGAAACTGAAGAAGACCACAAACACAAAACCAGCCAGAAGGGATCTCGAAAGAAAAGTACATCATGGAAAAGACAACTCACCGCATCCAACAAAATGTTTGACGTCTTGAAGTCCCTGTATATTATAGGCCTTTCAGCTCCATGAAGAAAAGCAAGCCCTTTAGCAGCATCCAAAGCAATTCTCATTCTTCTTGACCACATTAAAGTTGCACACACTCCTACAGCACAATACATGGTTGAAGAGAGGAAGAGCAAATTCCCATAGAGAACAAACAACTGAAAATACCGATCCATTAAATAAGGATTGGGAAACAAGAAATGCAATTCTTTAGCCTTCATCAACATGGAGTGACATGGGTACTGAGTACTCACTTGGAAAAAGGTGCTTTTCCAGGCTGCCAGATGCCATATATTCATAAACTAATAGTCTATGGTAATCCTCACAGCAGTATCCAATCAGCTTCACCAGATTTGGATGTCGAAGCTGCCCCAAGTAGTTCACCTCTGCCTGCACATAAATGAGTCAAAAATAAGCGACTGACATGCTATTGAACAACAGTGTCGTCGAACTTGTTGCACATTCATAAAAACTTTTGTAGCTACTTAGAACGTGAGTTGAGTGTATCCTGGCAAGTCTGGTTCATAAGACAAATTTCTTATCAAACAGCAGACTAAAGTGTACACTTAGCAAAGACCTTTACATATCGTGTCTTGCATACTCTCAAAAACATGTCACTTTTAATTTGTATGCAGTTGAGATGTAAGATATATTAGATGGCATCTAAGAGTCCATTGACAACAAAATATTTGGTCTTTATATCACAAAGGAAACAGAAAAAAGTCGACCATTATTTGAGTAGCTAGACAAACAGACAACGGCAATTAACACAGGAATAAGTGACAAGTGAAAACAGAGAAAGAAAACTTTCGGAAAAGAAATTTATAGGAAGACAAGAAACACCCGAAACCCATGGAAGAAAACAAAACAAATGAACCAAAACGACACTTCTTATGATATTAAATCAGAAAGCTGGAGAACTGACCTCTTTATATTGGATATTGGAGAAAAGAGAAAGACGAGAGGGCAATTTTGAACTCGGATAAATTGCTTGATATGGCAAATTTCTTTTATTGTTCAAACAAGTTGTAAATATTCATTCTTAGTAAAGATTATGTCATTCAGGAGACTTGTTTACATAATTTCTTTGGTTAGACAACACAATTGTACCTAAAAAGCTGAAGGAAAAAAAAAAGTTACAACTCACAGCACAATAGAAGGTCACAGCCCACAATCAACTTACTATTATGCTTCGAAATAAAAATGTGTGGAACCTCTCCTAAAATTGCTGATTCAATCTAGTTTCTGGAGATATATCAGGCAATTGTGTGTTCCATAGACACACCTTATGCTACCTTCCCTTATTTGCATTTTAGGCAGGATCCATCAGAGGTGCGGGAAAAGAGAGGTGAATGACTATTTCAACAACACATCAAACTAGACAAAGAGATATCAAGAGAATGTAAATAATAGAGACAACAACAATATTTTCTAATCTATATGTCAACCCCCCATTTTGGTAGTTTCAGTAACCCAAAATTCTGTAAAGTTGATGCAGAACTGATCTGCTGGTTTTATTAGTTCAGCAGATATTACGAAAATCCTTTTACTAATCCAATGACATTAGAATACCACGCTTCAATTCCATAGAGACGCAATCTGCAAATAAGCATTATGGTGTTTAATAGTCAATAAGTTGAACTCGTACCAGCCACTCTCTATCGCCCTGAAGACCTTCTGGATCAAGCTCCTTAATGGCAACATATGTCGTCTTGTATCCTGGCCTGACATGCTCGTCAATAATTCCTTTGTATACAATGCCGAATCCACCCTCTCCAAGAACCTTATCTGGTCGAAAGTGCTTAGTAGACAACTTCATCTCTTCATATGTGAAGATATCAAGATCACTACTCCCGGGATTCTGCCGCAGGTCCTTGAGATTTTTGGGTATTACCACAATGCTGCTTGCCTTTTCAGTGTCTTTAGCATCACGATTAGTACTCTGGGGAATTACAGGATTTTTTGACTTGGTAGGATATGCACCAACACCATGGCCAACTGGAAGTAAAAGAAAAAGAAGAATAAAAAAACAGAATCCCTCAAATATCCTGTTCACATTTGATTCTCTTTAACATAAGATATAGTAGTAATTTTTACTCTTATACTTTGCAATTAGGAGATCCCATGTTACAAAAGCAGTAAAAGTCTTGTCTTTACATCAAGTAATAGACTATGCATTACATCATTTGCAGTGATCTTGAAGAGATTCCGTTTAGCCAATAGTTCTTACTGTCTAAGATAAAATGGCAGCTTGGAAAACGGTCCGTTTTACGCTTAAAATCGGCACAAAGTCTAATATCTCAAAGGTCAAAGCAATTCCCCTAATCAATGAATTAGGTCAATTTTGATTCAAGTAAAGTGGCAATGAAATGCAATTTAGAGTCCAAGCAGCTATTCCCAAATGGTTACTTACATCCAAATTCCAATCAGACTGCCAACTTCCAAATTTGGCAATCAGAAAGCCTTAACTATCTTGAGATTAGCAGCATTGGCAACACTAATAGTAGTAACTTGACTATACTTTAAGAATTCCAAAAGTAACATCACAAGAAAAAACAGATCAAAATGACAAAAATAAAGTCAATGCACCAGAATTGATGTTAATCAAAGGACCATCAAACATATCTATTTGGTCACTTAAAATTTTTAAATTTACATTCTGTTACAAAGTATCAGGACAAATAACAAAACTATCAAAATAACACCAAATAAGAATAATGAGGAAAAAAAAGAAACCTGGCTTGTTATGTTGGTGCAGTTCTGATTCATCTTCTTCAATACTGAAACAGGAACCCATCAAATCTGGCCTTAATAACAAATAATTTGCATTTCATCTACACATCATTTTCCAAATATCACTTAAAAAACCCACTAAAGATAAGATTTTTAGACAATCACAATCTGGCCTTAACAACAGATTTGCATTTCACTTTCCCAAAATGACTTAAAACCCACTAAAGATCAGATTTTTATGCAATCAAAATCTGGCCTTAACAACAGATTTGCATTTCATTTATCCAAAATCACTTAAAACCCACTAAAGATCAGATTTTTATGCAATCAAAATCTGGCCTTAACAACAGATTTGCATTTCATTTATCCAAAATCACTTAAAACCCACTAAAGATCAGATTTTTATGCAGTAAAAATCTTTTCTTTACTCTACTAAGGGGTCAGTTTCAATTGCCAACAACTGCCTCAAAATCTAAAATGGCTAAATTTGCAAAAATCTGATCTGGGGTTGATGGGATATTCCAAGAAAATCCCAAGGGACTATGTAAGCAAAACCTTCTAGAAAATGCAGTAGTATGAGGATGTGATGACTAGTAGAAAAGTGACACTGAAAAATTGTAAAGACCAAGAAATGCAAAAAGAAGGGTGTTTTTATTTACTTAAGTTTTGTTTTTTTGTTCTAAACTACTACAACCACTTAATTCAATTTAATTTTGAGTTTTGGAGAGTATTTAGGAGGGGTTTGATTTGATGAATGATTAGTCAGTCAAGCGCTGGGTAGGAAGAAAAATGCCAAATGACAACAGCTGGAATCCCAACTTTACTTTGGTTGGACTTTGAATCCTTGAGTTCGTAACCTCCTATTATTTTCCCAAATTGCCCTTTCTATATCTTCATATGAGATACTCCTTTTTTTTCTTTTTTCTTTTTGTTTTTTGTCTTTTTCTTACAATACTACTATTTCATTTATCATATAAAATTGCCTTATTTTAGAAAATATGACACTGTTTTGGGGAAACAAGGTTTAAGGTCTGAATTTGACTTTTAATATCACATTATTAATGATTATAACAGAAATGTTACAACAACAAATTCAGTGTAGTCTCACAAGTGGTATTTGGAAGGGTAGGTTGTACGCATACCTTACACCTGCCTTTAAGAAGACAGAGATGTTGTTTTTGGTAAACCTTCGGCTCAAGAAGAAAAAAAGGGAGGGGCAATAACAAGCAAACTGATCTGACAATCGAAGCGAAAATACAAAACTAGCACTAGGTAATGCAATCAGAAAACCGAAACAAAAGACAACAACAAGTAGTAACAGAAGTGTAGGGATATGAAAATACATGAAAGACACTAAGTGGTGTATCAAAGTTATTGTTACAAACAAGGACAACACTCGGCTACCTAACCCTTTACCTTTATATTCTCATCCTCCACACCTTCCTATCCATAGTCATGTCCTCAATAAGATGGAGCAACATCATATCTTGCCTAATCACCTCTCCAAATGCTTTTTCGGTCTGCATCTACTTCTCTGTTGGCCCTCCGATGCCAGCCAATTATAACACAAATATTAAATTAATAATTGAAAAGCTACTTTGATAAAAAGCATCAAATCAAAATTTAAATTTGAACATTATAATAAATATTATAATAACAAATATTTTAGGTCATTTCACACTGAGAAAAGATTAATGTAAATTAAAACATGAAAAGTGTTGGTATATGAAACTATAAGATTCAATCAAATATATCCAGCTAAATAGTTAGAAACAAAGAGGTTCAGAGAAACAACAACGTAAATAAAGCCCGAGCTCTTTACTTTAGAATTCTCGCAAGGGTCAGGGTCAGGGTAAGGGTCGTGGCGATTTCATTCTTAACTAAAGATCACGAGTTTGAATCTCAAATATGAAGTTGATCTTGTTAAGAAGCGTTTTACCTTTAATATAAAAATTTTCGATACTATTTCGAATTTAGTGAAGCTCAATAAGAATACCAAAAAACAAAATAACTTTAGAAACCTACCTACGTTTGCACCAGTGGAGAAGGTACACTCAATGTCGTTGCTTCAAAAACGGTAGTAATTGACAATATATGTGGCATAAGGACAACCTGAAGTAACTTTTCTAACACCTCAAGCAAAGACTAATTCGTCAACAATAAAAGGGGGAAAAGAGCTAAAATAACTCATACATGCATTAATACAGCCTTTTATACATGCATTTGAAAATTTTCATCGATTGGACAATATTTGGTTGAAATTGAGAATACAAGCCTGTAAGTGTCTAGATAATATTTGGTTGAAGTTAAACAATATTTAGTGTTAAGTTATTGCAAGTGAAGTCATAGCCAAACAATTATATTTTAATTTAGAAATATGTCCAAGGAATATTTCGGGAATATGAATATAGCCTAATGAGAAAATGGGAAAGTTTCAAATTTTGTATTTGTAATATACAAAATTGAACAGATTTACCATATGTTATTTGAACCGTTCATATCTTTGTCGTTACAAATCATCTAGGTATTGTCATTAACAAAACTCTAACGTGAAATTAGTGGACTTCACATATCTAAATTCTTCGATTTTTTTTTTTAATTTTACTGCTCAACGTTTGATTCTTTAAATTCTGTTTCAAGGGCAAAAACAAAACTTCTCCTACCAGTAAGGGTAATATATATTAAACCAAAAATCCTACAAAATGCAAGATTGCTCAATTTTGAATAATATATTAAAACTTTGATCCTTTTCAAAGTAAATAAATAAATAAAAATATAGCCTATTGAAACATGATATTATTTTTTACTACTAAATTTTTTTTGTCAGCGTGTGAGATCTTCACTTTTGACAAAGGGCTCGAATAGTCCACGCGCTTAGAGTCAGCAGCACACGGCTAAGTCCCTTTCTCTAATTAAAAAAATTTCCTTTTCAACAACGAAGTCACAACCTTTGTCTTTCCACAAATTATATTTGTATCTTATTTCTATTTCTATTACTCCTATAGAAGAGACGTGAGATGGTCGACCACTGCATTGAAGAGTTGTATAAAAAGCTGTATTAATTATACTCTGTAATTGGCATTATCCAATTTCTTCATTTTTGCCACGTGTATTGTCACTTTCCTTTCTTTTTGGCCACCTATCGTGACGGAACTATCGAGAATTATCTTTCTGCTCTCTAGACTACTATCAACCTCCTTTCCGATGATACCATCACTCTTTAAAAGTTTTTGCTTGTCACAAAAGTATCCAGCCAAGGATTCTATGTTAAGCCAGCTAAGAAGATGTAAGTTGCAAATGCAGATTAAGAAATTAAAAAAAAGGGAATTTGAGAAGATGAGTTTAAGAGCCGATTAAATCGGCGGATTCATATATCGAGAGTGGGGTTTTCCATTGGAATATGAATGCTATCTATTCAAAATTTATAACAACGGTCATGCATGAATTTTCCGCCATGAAACTGAAAATTTTGAAGAGAACAGAAGAAGATAGGCAAAAATTGAAAGAAAAATAGCTTACGTGTACAACAAAATTGTAACTATATATGTTTAATGATATTAATATGTTCGCTCATGTGCAGATGGTGAACTAATCATATAAATTCACCGAGAACAATTAAAACATAAAATTAGTTTTTTTCATGACTTTTTCTTTTAATGTTTTTGACCCGGCGCACCTTAGAAATACTAGCACAGAGTTCAAATGAGTACACCAATAATCAAGTTGATTTGTAGAGCATAAATAACGACAAAATAAAAACGAAAAAAAAATAGATACAACTTTAAGGTTCCAAATACTTTTACTACCAAAACTGTTTGTATGCATTGGTAGCTAGCTCTTCGTATCATGTTGTTTGAGTTGATTTAGTGAAATCATTGATTCCATACTTGTGGTTTTCCTTTTCTATATTATGGTTTAAACAAATATGCAGAGCATCTTAAGACTCTTCCCTTATTTAGGCTAGCTTCAATAACTCCTCCTTCATATAAAGTATGTGACAAGTTTTCCAAAGGTGTAGTTTAGTGTTTTATATAATTTTTTAAGTTCTCTATTCTCGAGTACTCTTTGATGCAGTACTGTGAATTTGTGACAGCATGATTTTCCTTGTAGGGTTGAAGGACTTTCTCCAAATATGGTTTTTCCTTTATTTTTGTGGAAGTTTAAAGTTGATAGACTTTTAAGATTGCATTTCGAGGTATTATCAGTTTTATCTATAAAAGATGAAAGAAAGAATTAAAAACCTTTATTCCCTTGCTCTCCGAGTTTTCATGAATAGTAGCTGAAGTTTAATTCTCTGGTTTCGTTGCATATGTAAATAAGTCTTTATAATAAATTACTAGGATTTTGGTTTGATATCCTTATGCTCGTTTTACTTTGGTTCTTTTCCTGTTGCCTTTATTCTAAAGAGTATACCATAGTGGAAGTCCCTTTTGTTAGAATGTACCGATAGTTTTATCCTTTATTTCTTTTCCTCTTTCAGGAGGAAAATCATGCAAAATTCTTACAAAGAATTTGTGTTAGTTCAGTCAAAACAGTTTCTCAAGAGATAGTTTGATCTTGTTTCTTAATGAAAGTTTATTGTACTATAGTTTTTTTCAAGGATCATGAAATTATTTTTCAGTCTTATAACTGATGAAATGTAAACTTTTTTTTAGGGTTCATGAATAATACTTTTAGCTTTATAAGTGGAAATTGTTATAAATGCTATCCAACAAAATTGTCTTCTCCCGAAAGCATTATATGAGTGGGAGGCTGGCATTTTAACATGAACTACTCTTTCATTCATGTATCATACAAGGCTGTCTTATCACTATACATCTTGAGGGGTAATATGTGACATAATTATTCAAGCACGTAATTCCTTCTGAATATACAAAATAAAAAGGTGTCGGTACTTCTTGACTGCTGCATTTTTTACCTTACCAACAAACTCATGGGTTTAGACAGTCTTAAAACTGATCCAGTTTGACTAAGTTAAGTGGTATGGTGTTTGCTACGCATCGTAGAGTTTTAATTTTTTTTCCCCAAGTAATCATGTAAGCATAAGTTTTTCTTTGAAACCTAAGACAAGAGTCTAGGTTCTCTATCGTTCCAAGCTCCCTGCTGGATATGCATCTTTTTTCTTCTTTGTTTTCACAAATAAAGGCTTTGGAATATTTGATCACAATATGAAACCTTAATTACATGCTAGTGCGAGATGATTTGGTGTTAAAAGGTTGTTTTCCTTCCTTCTGTTTGGGTAAAAATTAATGTATGCTTGGGAATGACATATCTTTTTGTTTGATTCAAGTTTTCATGTTATACAAATTTATGATATCGTAACTGATTATGACAGAACCTATAATCTGTATCAACTATATACCAGAAGCTGGCTAGGAAGGAAGATTAATGTAGGGAAACAAACATAAATATTGTACTTGCTCGTCACAATTTGGAAGGGAATTAGGAACAACCGATGTTTTGAAGATACTGCATCTGAAGCGTGGCTATGTAATATAGTTCAACAGTGGTTTCTAATATTTCATGCAAGAATATGGTATGTGTTTCGCATAAAAATCTAAATATTATATGCTTGAATCTTTCTATTTCAAATAATGAATTACACTAAATACCATTGACTCCCATTGTTCCTATCAAAGAATATTACAAAGTAGTTTCTTTATGCTATTCAAAACAAATCTATTCATCCATATTTGCTCCAAATATAATTGAATTTACGAAATGGCTTTTATTATGTGTATTTGCAGATAAGAACATATAATACTAATACAGTCCAACTCGAATTGTTGGGTCCGTGCTTTGCACGAGCATCAAATATCTAGTTTAAATAGAAATGTTATTGCCGTTAAGGCAACTTTTGGAAATAGTTGTTTGCAATTTATTTAGAAGAAAACATTTGCATAAAAAAGTATATTTGACGAAACAACTAAAGAATAGAATTACGAAATTTTCGTAAACTTTTAGTATAACAATAATTTTTAAGGAAATCACACTTCATACCATTTTCTCTTTATATTTGCTAATCATTTTCTTTTATAAAAACTTTCAGATATTATTGGACAAATAAAATTGGATGAAAATTATTTACATCTTTCGAATTTACTGTAAAAATCAAACTCCACGTCCAACTTTGAATTATAAACATTTTTCTATATTCTACATCTTTAGGAGTGTAAGTTATAAACAATGTAGGGATCCAATTGTCATTAAAGAATTATCTTGCCTTTATAAAATGAAACTTTCACGTACTAATAAAATGAACTCTATTGTCGCTTTTAAAATTTTGCATTTGGGAATCATTCTAGTATGACTTTGTAGAGGAATCTAATTTAAACTTGATTTAGGTCTAGCTCAATCAAGTCTGAAATGCAACACTTGGATATCATTGAGTTTATTTGGTTCTTCTATGACAGATTTATCGATCTAAATTGTTTTTTGATACCTATCAACTAACCATTACACGGTAACATATTATACCAACATATAATACTTCCTGATAAATTTGCTACATTTATCATTTTATTAAAGGCATTTAAATTCCATAAGAAAATGGTCACCACCCCCATATAATAGAAATCTATTTCTAAGTAGCAAATTATTGCTTCATTCAAACAGATTACCTCCTTTTGAAGAATTAACCTGAATAGTCGGCATACCCAACTGTTTAAACTAAATATAGCCGATGTATCATAATATATATATAATTTATGTATAATATATATTTAACTAGTGTATAGTTATTATATGATCTATTTATATCGGTTAAGAAAAATAGAAAATGAATCCAGTCGGGTATTTGTATAAAGATCCCTTAATTTTTTTGTTAATTTACTCGATAAGATAATTACAAATATTTCTCACAAAGAGAGAGGCCCAAATAGTAACTGCTTGTTGCTACTATTTTTTGTTTTCTTTAGCCGGGGATATATTGGAAACAGCCAATCTACATTCAACATTGTGCCCACACTACCCGGGCAAGTGCACAAATAGCTATTTTTATGGATACTATTTAGAAATTAACGAGTATTTATTTTGTCCTGAAATTTTAAACTAAAAATCTTAACTTCAGATCAATTCAAGATATTTTTATCTTGAAAAATTAGACTAAAAAACTGAAATTCAGGACACACTGACTAATTCCTAAATAACAGTTATTTTAGAGCGGCTACTGGTGTCATTTCTACGCACTACCCTTCCCATATTAGAATGAGTTTGTTGTAGAGAGGCCCAAATAAAGTCGCCGCAATTTCCACAAATCAAGGCCCAAAACAAGAATTGGGCCAGAATTATCAACTCAAAGTAACAGCAACAACATACTTTTCACTGTTAGTCTCTTCTCTTGTTGGCAAATCTCACTCAGCTTCAGAAAGTAGAATCATATACTAGGGCTTCAGCTTCTGTATCAGCACTCGGAATTGAAGGTGAAAAATGGCCGACGAAGCAAATAGAGCCGTAAGATATCATTAGCTTTTCCCTTTCAAAATTATGTATCTTTTTTTTTGTTCGGATTTTTACTTATTATAGCTCGGATTAATTGCCATTTGTTTCCTTCAACAGGCTTTCATTGAAATTCAAGGTCGCATGATTGAGACTACCGGGAAATTGAAGCAGGTAAGGAAAACTTATTAGTAATTTTTCTCTGCGAGATCGATTTAAATAAAAAAGAAACAATTTTTATTGTGCTTAGAGGAGAAATTGAATAATTTCTGGTTTTCTGATCCTTTGGATTTTGTATCCTAAATAAAAATAAATGGGAAAAGAAGTGCTTAAGATTGGGCACAATTGAACTAGTTGATTGAGATATTTATATATTGTGATCTAACGTGAATAAGAGTTGTTTTGGCGTTGTAGGTTCAAACGCAGATGCGAACTAAAGAAACGGAAAAGAAGCGTGCTTTTTTGACATTGGAGGAACTCAAGCAGCTCTCTGATGATACTAATACCTACAAAGCCATAGGTATGCTCTAAAAAGAAAGATAAAGTTGGTTTGAATTGGTTGTCTAGACAAAGCTAGTTTTGATGGCTTCATCTGATAGTCTGAATATTTTGTTCTTTCTATTCTATTCTCACTTTTTACACCAACCAAATAACTGAAACAAATGAAGGGGTTCACAATGGTTGGTGTATTTCATTTTCTTTTGTAGCTTCTCCTTTCGTCGCAGGTCAAGCGCATTAATCTAATCAGTGGCAAACTATTAGTTTCCATTCAAATAAAGGAATCAATGGTAAATTAATACTTAGAAGAACTGGTTTCTCTAAGAAATCACATCGCAATGTTCTTGTGGTTAATGGAGATCAGAAAAAAGCCTAACAAAGTGAAAAAACAAAAGAAGTTTTATAGAACAGTTGTACAATGTTTTATTAAAGTGGATATGGGTACTTTAAGACCCAACATTTTGCAAAATCTGTGTTGTCGGTATTCGTTTATTAAGATGCATCTGTGGTCATACAATATTGAACAAGACCAGAAATTATATATCGAAGCAAGTAGCACTCATAGAGGTCAAAATGAGAGGTAATTTAAGATGGTTTGGCCTGTGTCTTATATACCTCCAAATGCATTGGTCCGTAGATGTGACTATGATGATTGAATGTGCTTACAAGGGACGTGGCATAAAAATTAAATGGAGGGAAGTTGCTTCAATTGGCATACAATTTGTAAAATTAATGCAGATTTTTCTAAGAACTAAACACAATGGAAGTAAAAGATCCATAAATATGATACCAACTAGCAGGGATTAAGATTTGTTTGTTAAATTACATTAGGTTCAGTATTTGGCACGAGTCTTTCTGGCCAGGTTAGATATCAGGTGTAGGGAAAAGTGTGAGATTTAGAAAACCTCTAGTTTTAAAGAATTCACATTTGCCTGAAAAGACACAGTTTAGATGAATACCTGAAAGAACAATTATTTAGTGTTGGAATTATGTAGCCTCGGATACACTGGAGTAAATATATGAGTTTTCATGTAGTTGACCCAAACCATTTCGGAATTGAGAAAAAAGCTGATTGATTGATTGGATGATTTGTTAATTTTTTGATTTCACTTAAATAATTTTGACCAGAGTTCTAACTTTGTCGTGTTCCATTTTCTTTTTGTTGCAGGAAGAACGTAAGTTTTGAACTGAAGTCTATCATGTCCTGCTGTTATCTGAAAAAGGACAAGGGGATGTGGATCATATATATTATTATTCTGGATTTCTCAAATTTCTGTGCTGCTTTTATATTTATCTCACTTTGAACAATCTTTTATTTTCAGGTTTATCTTAGAGCCAAAGACTGTGTTAATGGATGAGCAAGAGCAAAAACTCAAGGATAGTGAAACCGCAATTGCATCTTTGCAGGTGAATTCTCAAATTCCTTTTTCATTTTAGAATATTGTTTCTCATTGTCATACCAGGCCTGACTTCTTCATAGTTAATAGTTTATTTTTGAGTCACAGAATTATTATGGTAATTAAATAGAGATGTCTCAAGCTGATAAAGTAATGTAGTTTCAAGTCTCAATTTTGACCTTAGGCCTAATATTAATGCTTTGTTCTGAAATTATTAGTTACATAAGTTTTGAAATTTTGCTGTGAACTCATCAAATAAAAAAGTGTTCTATGGTGTTTAAGAGTTCAATCATTCACTTACTTTACCAAAGAGGACCTTGCTCTGAAAGCATCCACCAATAATAAGTCTGAGCTAAATCATTTGGGGAAAAATGGAAACAGAAAAGGTCCACTCTATAGCTTAAACCTCATTACTGGACATCAATTTCTTCCTTTAGCTCTGCAGATGGGAACTTCCTGTTTTTTTTGTAGCTTGCCATTTTCCTTACTTTTCATTTAACTACTATTCGCTGATTTCAGTCTCAATGTTTAGCATATTGACCGTTGGCAGAAATAAATGCTGCTGTGCTGTTGAACGAACTTTAGTTGCCACCTTTACCTAACTATAGTTGGTACATCAAAACCACAACAACAGCTACACAAATTCCAAGCTAGTTTGAGTTTGCTATATGAATCCTCAACATTCATTCTGCTCTATTTAGTGTATAAAATAAATGCTCTGTTTAGTTATAAAAGAAAAGCAAGAAGAAATTAAAGGAGCACAAGGAAAACATTTTTAAGAATTTGGTTACCTTGAACTATCCAAAGGGATAAGATGACTTCCATCGCTTGTGGACAAACGTCATTTTTTTTAATATCTCAAATTTCACTCATTTGCCTCGATCAACGCTTAGATTGTGTCAATCTTTAATAGTAAAAAATATCATTAAAACATTATTCTTGTGTCTTATCCTACGCATTTTATGATTACCGCATGTTGTCAACTTTTATAATCAACCAAACATTAAAAAGTGATTCCCTAAGACAGAACATTCTTCACAAAAAATTCTCCATGGAAGCCTTTTCTTTCGTACCAAATGCATTTCTGCATATTTTATAATCTTTTAACTTAAGAGGCTGTTAGCATGTAATTTTTGCCCTACGGAAAATATTCCTACAAAATTCACAAAAATAGTTTTCTAGTTGTCTTTGATTTTTGTAGAATTTCTAGGAATTTCTCTTTATTTGTTTGTTTGCATTTGTGCATAGTTAATATCTTAAAATCGTAAAAATCATTAAAAATATTTTAATCTTTATTTCTATAGCATTTTAGGTTTGTAATTGTATTTTTAGGGTTTAATCACCTTTTAATTGCATTACTAAAATACAAAATCACAAAGAAAAAGCGCTAGTCATTTAGGTCATTGTAGCATTTTAGGTTTAATTAATTGGACTTTTTGTTAATTTACCTAGTTAGTTAGGGGATTAGTTCAATTGCTGGATCATTTGAAAATGGTTTGTTTTTGCAAAGAAAATTCGGAATTAGGATGTTTAAAATTGGTTAAGGTTGAAGTTCAATAACAAAGAAGAAAGGGGCCATTTGTTATCCATTTAACTGGGCCAAGAGCAGCGGCCCAGTCCTTCAACAAAATACCCGCCCCAATCCTCATTTAAGCCGGCACAGACCACATCCACAACGAAACGACCCCGTTTTGACTTAAAACGGTCTCAACCATTCATCTTCCTTGATCATATGGCCCGGAACTAGCTCCCCACGCTTGGGGCAGCAAGCAATGCATATTACATGATATGTGTACTCTTTTTCCTTCACTAGAATTTTTTCCCATAAAGTTTTTTCCTAAAAAGGTTTAACGAGGCACATTATCTATGGACATTCAAGGGGGAGTGTTACAAAAATTATGGTGGATGTCCATAACCACCAAAGGAGTAATGATCACTACTCTTCTCCATTATCTCCATAATCTCCCCCATGATCTTCCTCCATGATCTCAAATGCTTAATGACATGTTCAATGACATATTGATGGTATTCTTTGGTATACCTCTATGTAATACTATAAATAGAGGATGAGAAGTGATAATGTATATGCTTGAAAAATACACTTGAATACATGGAAGAAAAAAGAATCTCTCCTCTCTCTCTATATATCTCTTAGCTTATTTTTCCTTGCTCTATATTGTTACTTTGAGCTATATTTCATAAAACGTTATCAGCACGAGACTCTACCGTCTCAAGAAGCTCTTTGAGAGGACTAAGGTATAATTTTTCTCCTCTTTTAATTATGACTGATATTATGAAAGAAAGTTCGTTGCCCTTGAAATTTCGGGCAAGAACTATATGACATTGGTGTTGGATGCTGAAATCCATTTAGATGCAATGGGTCTTGGAGACGCCATTAAAGATAGAAGTAAAGCATCTACCCAAGACTGTGCTAAGGCCTTGGTTTTCTTGCGCCATCACCTTGATGAAGGGTTGAAAATAAAATATATCATAGTCAAAGATCCACTTGTTTTGTGGAATGGCTTAAAGGAAAGATATGACAACTTAAAGTTGGTCACTCTTCCACAAGCATGATATGATTGGGCTCATATGAGGCTCCAAGACTTTAAGTCTGTTTCTGAATATAATTCTGCGATGTTTAGAATTACTTCTAAATTGAAACTCTGTGGAGATAGTATCACTGACTATGATATGCTTGAAAAAATGTTCACAACGTTTCATGCCTCCAATATGGTCTTGCAACAATAGTACCGAGAGAAAGGTTTCAAGAAGTACTCTGAGTTGATTTCTCTTCTCTTGTGGCTGAACGAAACGACGACTTGCTTATAAGAAATCACGAAAATCGACCCACTGGGTCTACACCATTGCCTAAAGTGGATGAGGTGTATTCTCATTATGCTAAGCGTGGAAAAGGTCGTGGCCCTATTCGTGGCCGTGGCC